TGGCCAACAGATGAGGATTTACAAGCTTCAAGCTTCCTGTCCTCTTAAAACAACTCCCAAACCCCTTTCTCAGAGCAGCTATTTCTTCCCCAATCCACAGGGTGAAACTGAGACTTGGACTCACAGTGACCCACCCCTCCACACAGGTGTGTCTGTGTCCATGACGGCCCATGTGAGGCCGTCCCTAGAATCCCTGGCCTGGAAGTCAAGGTCAGTTCCTATGTGACCCCAGGACACTCCTCATAAACTACAGGACTTATATGCCCAGTTAAGCTGTCAGACCTTGAGCAATTATCTACCTCTAACCATCTGTCTTGCCATCTGTGAAATTGGGGTGTACAGCACTTTGATAGGATGGTTGTGAGACTGCACACAGCCAGGCACAGGCACTGAGCGACCGTTCTCCCTCTGCTGTTTGGCCAGGTCTGTAAAGTGCTTTGGAAGTCTGGTTCTTTATAAAGTCTAATGAATAAACCAATAATTGAAACTACACCGGAAGTTCTACCTTCTGTGTTAAGCCCGGAAAGAAAATGAAGATCATGATCGTGTTAGCGTTTCTACCATCTGTTTCACCAGAAGCCTGTGCTGCTGATTATCTCTTTCATGAGTCCTTGTAAATCATCTTCATTTTTTGAAATACCGAGAGCCTAAGGAACTTGCCAAGAGGAGCCTTGAGGTAGACGGAACCACCTCTTCCCTCACTCATTAGATCTGGGATCTCAAGAAACGCCTGGGAGGCAGGAGAGGCCCCCTCCCCAGAGCACAAACTACCCCTCAGAGAAAGGAGGGTGCCACCCGCTGGCTTCCTAAAATCCAAGTCAAGGAGCTCACTAAGCGGTTTGTTTAGTCCTAGAGGGTGAATCATCTTGTCACGCACTGGTTTCCTGGAATGACCACTGGGCCCCGCTGGGTTTTCCCCTCCTCAGTGCCCAGCATGCTGGGGAGGGCCCCCAGCCCCACGGTGTTCACCACACGGGGCACTGTGTCAAGGTCTGTCAGGCCACAGTGTGGCCTGCGGCTTTGTCAGTCGAAAACATCAAATGATTTTTCTATAGCCGTTTGTGATTTGTTCAGGCATCGCCTTACTGGTGCCATTGAGTAAACAAGCCTTCTGGTTTTTACAGCCTGTGTAAGAACCTGGGACTCCTGCTGCCTGAGGAAGGAGCGCAGCTCAGTCCCAAGGTACCAGGCAGCGGCCGAATGGCCTGAGCTGGGACGTGGCCTGGGGAAACCTGGTGCCTGTGGGAGTCGTGTCCCACGTACCTTTTTAACAGGGTCTCCACCCTGAAGGTGTCATGTCTGCTGGCGCAGTGTTGGGCCTAGGTCTCTGCTGGAGTCTTGTCTCAAGACAGGAATAGAGCAAAGGAAGGCAGGAGACTATCAGCGGTTTGCATTTCTCAGCTGCACATACCGGCCTCTGAGGCAGTTGTCAGCACAGAATCAGACTGAATGCCAAACTTCTCTTCGTGCTTCCCTTCCCTTTTCCACTCCGCTGCTGCCTTTGGGTGAGTTCACCTGACCTGCTTTTTTGTTTTTGTCTTGATGAATTTGACTGTAGATTAACTCATACTTTGGATCATCATTGTGTTTTTGTGACTGGCTTGTTTCCCTTAGGATAACTTCTGTCCTTAAGGCATTTTCCTGTCCAGCCAGCCACCAAAGGGCACCTGCATTGCTTCTTCCCCTTGGTTACTGGAAATAATGCTGTTATGAATGGGGTGTGCAAACGAATATCTATGTGGCACTCAGCCCTCGATTCTTTTGGGTAGACACCCCGAGGTGCATTGCTGGCCACGTGGTGGTAGCGTTTGTAGTGTTTTGAGGAATCCCCATGTTACGCTGGCAGTTGTACCACTTCACATTCCCGCCGGTGGTTCACAGCGTTCATTTTTCCACATCCTCACCAGCACTTGTTTTCTGACAGTAGCCAACCTGATGGGTGAGAGGGGATCTCACTGTGGTTTGGGTTTGCATTCCCCTCATTAGGGATGTGGAGCATCTTTTCATGTGCTTATTGGCCATTTGTATCTCTTCCTTGGAGAAATGTCTATTCAAGTCCTTTGCCCTTTTTTTAAAATTGTATAGTTGATACGCAGTATTATATCGGTTTCAAGTATACAACATAGTGATTCAACAGTTATTTACATTATTAAATGTTTGCCCCAACTAGTATCTGGAACAAAGAAGACACTCCAGTATTATTGACATTGTCCATTTGTAAAATCAGGTTTTATAGTTTATTGGGAGTTTTAATTTTAGGCCTTACATTTACATCTCTGATTCTTTAATTTTTGTATATTATGTAAGAAAAGGTCTGCTGTGGTCTGAATGTTTGTGCCCCTTCCCCCAAATTGGTGCATCAAAATCCTAATCTCCCTATGATGGTATTACTAGGTGGGGCTTCTGGGAGTTGCTTAAGTCAAGAGGGCAGAGCCCTCATGAGTGGAATTGGTGCCCTTTTGAAAAAAGGCTCCGGAGAGATCTCCTGCCCCTTCTACTGTTTGAGGACACAGGAGAAGGCACAGGCTATGAACAAGGGAAAGGGCTCTCAGGAGAACATGGCCTTCCTTACTGCACCTTGTCCTCAGACTTCCCAGCCTTCCAAACTGTAAGCCAAACCTTCTATAGTTTATAGGCTATTCTGGTTGGGGTATTTTGTCATATCAGCCCAAAAAGACTAAGACAAGGTCCATCTTTATCTTTTGCATGTGAATATCCAATTTTCCCAGCACCATTTGTTGAAAAGACTGTTGAGTGGTCTTGGCATCCTTATTAAGTCATCTGACTCTACGTGGGAGTTTATTTCAGGCTCTCTTCTTTTCCACTGGTCTGTGTTCATGCGAGTACCACACAGTTAATTTACTGTAAATATACAGTAGTAAGTTTCGAAATCAAGTACAAGACTTCTAGCTTTGTTCTTTTTCAAGATTGTTTTGTCTCTTCAGAGTCCCTTGAGATGCCATATGAATGTTAGGATGGATATTTCTATTTCTGCAAAAACTGCCATTGGGATTTTGATAGAGTTGGCATTAAATCTGTAGACCACCTTGGGGCAGTACTGACATCCATGAACATGGGAGACCTAGCCATGTACTTATGTCGTCTTTACTAATGTTCTGTAGTTTTCAGTGTACAAGTCTTTTGCCTTCTTGGTTAGATTTATTCCTTAGTATTTTATTTTTGATGCTGTTGTTGGGTGGAATTGTTTTCCCAATTTCCTTTTTGTATTGCTTATTGTTAGTATCCAGAAAACAATTGCTTTGTGTGTTGATTCAGCTTTGCTGAATTCATTTATTCTAATGGTATTTTTTGTCTTGTGAAATCTTTAGGGCTTTCTATGTAACAGATCATGTCTGTGGACAGAGGTTAATTCTTTCTAATTTGGATGCCTTTTCTTTTTCTGGCCTAACTGCTCCAGCTAAGACTTGTCTCTAGTATTTAGTTCAATAGAAGTGGTGAAAGCAGGCATCCAAGTCTTGGTCCTGATCTTAGAGGAAAAGCTTTCATGCTTTCAGTATTCCACAATGAATACAGTGTTAGCTGTGGGCTTTTCATGTATGGCCTTAATGGTGTTGAATTTTCTCAAATGCTTCTTCCCTACTGAGGGGATCATCCTCCCCACCCCCACCCCTAGCCATTCTGTGAATGTATTACATGAATTGGTTTTCTTATGTCGAACTATTCTTAAAGTCTGGGACATCACTTACAATCCTAATCCTTTTGTCATTACGTATAATTCTTTTGAAGTGTTAATTCTGCTAATATTTTATTTAGGATTTTTGCATGGCTTTCAAGATTGATTTTCAACTGTTTGTAGCACTTTGCTCCTCCTTTCCTTCTCCCCATACACTCGTGAATTTTGTCAAATTTTCTATACATTATGTTCTATGACTATCATTCTTTAATGCTTTGATTTTTAAAATATTTGTGTACTTATAATCACTATACAACCAAGATATATTATGGACTCCTGAAGAAATGCAATTATTTGTCACTAAAAATTTTCTTATATTTCATTCAAAACATTTTATTGGCATGGCTAGCCCTGTTCTAGGAGCTTGGGGGTACATCCATCAGTAGATCAAAATTGTATCTTTGGACATATTTTTGCGTTATATGAGGCTATTCAGAATTGTCTTTCCTTTTTGCTTGTTGGCAGTAAAACTGTGTCACTATATTACTAAGATTTTCAGTTTCAGTACCACTTCCTTGGTGTGGTGATATTTCAAACTGCAACTTCTTTCCTGTATCACCCAGTGTTTGTCCAGAGTACTTAGCATTTTCTAATCTTTTATAAAATTTACTTATTTGGCTTCATGTGTGTCCCTCTGCCCCCCAGCACTGGAATGAAAGCTCCTGGAGGGCAAATGAATCTCTTGCTCCATGAACGTCGTGCTCGAATCCTGAGCATGACTTCCAGCTCTCACATAGTGGCCATTCAGTTATGCTCCTTGTAACTAGTTTTCTGTAAAAAAAAAAAAATCTCACTCTTCTTTATTTGGATTGATTGTTTTCTAGGTCTGCCTCAAACATAGAAGTCCTGAGGAAAAAATTATCAACACTTTTTAGGACCTTGTATGGCAGGATGTATGTGGTCAGTGTGCATGGTCTTTTTCCTAAACAGGGTTTCTCAACTGTGATGTTTGGGGCTGGCCTAGTAGCCCCCGTCCTCAGTCAGCAGTACCTCCAGATGTTGCCCAACTGCTCAGTATGGTAGCTACAGCTACGTGGAGCCACTGAGCACCTGAAGTGTGATTAGCATGACTGAGATACACAGTCTTCATGTCATTTAAATCTTGCATGCACTGAGGACAAAATGCTCCAGTGTGGAAAACTATTATTTGTGATACTAACAAGGATGCTAACATATTTCCAAACCTTTAAGGTTCATTCTGACTAGGCAGTTGTTAAATCATAAGAAGTTAAAAGATTAGGTGCTCTGAGTTCTGGTAGGTAACTCTTTAAAATGGAACTGAAAGAAAGGAAAAGCCAAGCCAGGATTGAAGGGAAACATTTATTGAATCAAAATCAAATACTTTAATATCTACAAGCCAACACTTAACTCACCTTATTTAAGAATGAACACAATGTACAAAAAAAGTATGCTTATATTATAAAAATATGTCAATTTTATCTTCTGGGTACTGAACAGAAGTCATTTTAAACAAAATCAAGGCAAACTTGCTTTTCTCTAATGAAACTACTATAATTTAATAACAAAGTAAAAGCTAATATACTCACAAAGGTATCTTTAAATAAGGCCCACTGCTTAACGCACCCAGTCACCATTTCCACTCTGCTACTGGCACCAGCCCTTCCACTTCCCTTATTAGCAGCTGTTAGCATGTATTTCAGCAAAAAGTATTAACAGTCAATCCTATTTAATCAAACTTGGAAGGTTACTGGTTCACTTTATCCCAAGTACATGTATTTACATAGATGTGGGAATGCAGCCTCCCTAAAAAAAATTTGTTCAAGGTGTTTATCTTGGACTATTTTTTTCACTGAGTGTATTGGCACCTTCCTTGGCACGTGGTCCCATCCCCTGGGAATCGGGGCCCTGGCTCCTCCCTGGAGTGGTGCTGTAGGGGTTACAGGACAAATACCCTAGACAGCCTCAGTGCTGACAATGCCAGGATGTCATCATTAAAGTGCTTGCACGCAGCAGGCGCCCTCACACAGGCAAGCTATGGTTTTGCTGGTGCACTATCTTGGTTAATAAGCATAAATGTTTTCCCTTGACAGAGTCTCTGGGATGGACAGCAGTGAAGGCTCAAAATTGCAGAAATTCAAGGACCAAACAGTCTAGTCTACTGCCCCACTACTGGGTGAATTCCAAAGAACTGGGGCATAATGGAGTATTACTTCCAGTACCTTTCATAAGTCTTCAATTAAGCCTCATTTGCTGCTGCATGAAATGTTAACATCTAAAATTCATAAAATTTGTCAAGAATAAACATTTTGTAACCTGAGCAAAGATTTCTCCCCATCATCCTCACGGCCAAGTTCAGCCAGATTGGTATGTTGCTCTTGATAACTTATGCTGTCGCCATCCCCCAAATCATAGAAAGGCCAGTGACTCTACAGCCGGCAATACAGGCCAGAATTCCAACAGACTGTTACAGTAGCTGGTCCTCTGTTAAGGTACCCATTTAAAGATGATGGTGTTTACAATCCTAAGTCCTTGCTCTACAAATAAATATACTCAACATTTACATATGTATGAGTACAAGCTGCCTTTTTGTGGAACTGTGACCTGGCTCCCCACACGAGGCAGTGCCATAGAACATGCAGGTGTCCACCTGCCCAGATGAATAAAAATCATTGTGCCTGTGGGTCTCATACCTTCCAAAATATACATAAATGGTAGCCAATTAACAAATATTAACAGGTCGTGCTTACCAACAAACCGTAAGGCAGAAAGGGTTGGAAGAAAATGTTTAAAGTGGAAAATAAAGGATGCAAAGTGGTGTTAGCATTCACAGAAAAGATCATGCTGAGCTCAGATCCATACTGATGAACATTAAGCCACACTCCAAACGAGTCCGCAGGTCCAAAGGCAGGCGTGCCGGCAGGAGGGGACACACAGGGTCTGGCTGCTGTGGGCAGAACAGCAATGTCTCACTGGATAATCACAACAGGGCGAACAAGATGCCACCACATTTCTCTTTGCAATCGAAAAGAAAAAGAAAAGCAATCACACACAAAAATGAAAATGAATGACCTATAAAACCAAAAGAGAAATCCAAATTATCTCTATACTTTAGAGGTTCACACTTTTTACAAGTTTATAATGAAAGATTTATCAGTAACACAGTGTCACATATACACTCACTTCCTACATGTGGGATGCCCTGCAGGACCAGCTCAAAATAAGCCTCTTGTCACTATTTAAAGTTCTTCATAATGAAAAGAACCCACAACTAATACTCAAAATTGCAATGGCCTCTGACACAACCAAGAATATTTTTGCACCTTCCAGTAATTCAGTTCTTAAAAAAGAACAAAATATATCCATTTTGAAGCCCAAGCCTGCCACACTCACCGGGGAAGGGACCGGGGCTATCCCGCCTTCGTGTCCACGAGCTGCAGCTGCGCGCTGGCGGACACCCCGCCCCCGTAGCCTCCCTTGGACTGCATCTGGTTCTGGATGGAGCTGACCTAAAATAAAATGAAGCAAAGGTCTGCAATTGTGTCTCAACATCTTTTTCCTAAACAACATTCTCCTAAAAAATGTAGATTTTTGCTGTTTTCATAGACTTAAAATTTTACTGATTATAAGAGCAAATAGGCTAGTAATGAAAACATTTTTTGCCACAGCTTCCCAATTATCAAAAACCTGTTCTGTAATTCACAAGGTGTACATGGCAAAAACAGCCAAAATATGGATCAGCTCACCTTTCTGTTCTCAAGTATCTCAATTTACAGACACGTCACATGTGTGATCACCTAAATTACTTAGAAGTATGAATGAAACTGGAACAAAGATAAATTTTTTAAAGTCCATGTGATAAAATTTACATACTTGACATTCTTAACAAAAAGCATCAAGGCCTATTCAAAAAAACACATCATAGTTTCACATGGTGCATTCACAATGTCATGCCAATTTTAAGAAGAAAACATTTTCCTCTAAAAGTCAATTCTTCCATTTCAAAATAAGGATTTGGATTTTTTATTAAGTAACCCATCAGTGTTGAGACTGAATGTATGTACAGCTGTGGCTATGTGATATTTTAGTAAAATAAGGCTGTATTATTAAAAGAGTCAGGGAAAAGAAGACTACAAGTCATCTGACCACTCAGGAAGCCTGTGGGCCCTGGTGCTGCACCCATGTTCCCAATACAAGCTGCTCAGTGCTTTGGATAAACAGATACATGGTTTTGCCTCATTGACACTATTACTGTACAGAGAACAGAATTCTCTCACCAAATCCGGCTTATACCAGTTAGAACCATCCATGACACTCCAGTTTAAGTTAGGGACTCCACAATACTCAGTCTACACCTGGAGTGCAGGCAGCCCCGGGAGGCATGCCTGGTTCTCAGTCGTGAGGACCCCACTTCTGCCAGCCTGGAGCCCCCGCGCTGGCCCTGCGCCCCAGCCGAGGAGGCGGCCCTGCCAGGACAGTCCGCCAGCTCTACCAGAACACATGGCAGGCATTGAGGCACCCGCATCAATGACAGGCTATTTGTGGAGCCCAAATGCCAGACAGGAATCTTCCTGAATGAAATGTGCAGAAACAATATTTTACAAGTTCAAGTAAATACCATGAGCCCAAAATTCAATCCATCCTATGTGGTTAGGTTTTTAAAAACCTAAAGTGGGGAAGAAGGAATAAAATTGCGAAATGAAAGTCACCATATATAATAAATGTGAAACCATTCATTACCATAATAACAAAAGTCAGAGAGTCCTGTGTGCCCTTCCGTTCCATGCTGGTCCAGGAAACAAAGCTACTAATTTGTATTTTGACAACAACCTGACACCTCTTACATTTCCACTAATGCAGGGGGTGAAACCAAGTACTTTTCCTACAGATTTAAAACAAAGAAGCTGTTTCCTTTACAGGAAGCCTCAAATGTCATTCCTCTGCTTACCTAGTAACTGACGTGACAAACTTGTTTGCTGTATCCAGGATACCCACCCACCTATTTTAAAAGTCTCTGTTCTCTTAGGTGTTTGTTCATGTTTCCAGGGAGCACCATGGATCATAATTCTGTGTTTACAAAAGCCTTACTGACTGTCTCTAAACACTGCAGGGACCACCCAGACACCGCTGTTTACTTTAGATTTGGGGGAAACGCGCTCTGAACACTTGGTGGCTCAGGTCACAGCCAAAATGAGGCAGAGCCCTGGTTAAAAAGTCCTCACTCGGGAGTTCTTCCACTTCACTGCGCTGTTTTTTTCTCATGGACAAAAAGTAAGGAATAAAAGAGTTCGGCTGAGTAAATCCAATGTCTGTTCTGAATTCACTAACCCTCTGTAAAGACAGCAAATATGTACAAATTTTAATCCTTGACCCTCTGCTTTGCACATGAGAACTTACAGTAATGAATGAATCAGATATTCTAATGTCCTCAGGTAAAGGCTAATGTTTGATGAAAGTAAATGCAATCAATAAACATGTTTGCAAAAGAACCCAGTGAACCTAGGAGAACGAAAAGACATTACTAGAAGGCTGATTTCCAAGTCCCTTTGTGGGGGTGGGGGGTGGGGGCGGGCAGCAGATTTGATGGGATAGTAACTTCCATTCTGAACTCAAGCCCTTTGAAGTTAGCTTCAGGAGAAGGGCAGCTAGGAAGAGTTTAGTACAAGCGATAAAAACATGAATAATGGCAAATGAAGTGAGACTGATTTTTCACATTCACCTCTCGTCTATGCTTACATTATGTATTTATATTCCGTGTCTACAAAGTCGTTTAGAATAGCGCAATCCCTAAGGGTGTCATGCATCCATCACACAGGACACGCGCATCTGCGCCCCAAACCCCATCAGCGCGTTCCAACACCTACTGAGTTCATCCCACTGAACAGGTCTCCCGATCCCACATGGGCCGTGTGCACAAAGTTTGTCGGCTCTCCGATCATACTTCTGTCTATCCGCCGGCGTCTTTTCTAAAATAGAGGAAAAATGTATTGAGAGAAACAATCTTGTTAAACTCATTCTGATGGATTTATGACTTATTATGTCAATACTTAGATCTTGGACTTCTGCAATTACCTCATACACAAAAAACGATTGGTAAACACAACCATGGGTTATTATTTAGACCTTAAAAAGAGATTATTTGGTCTCGTTTTGGCCCTCAACATATTTGTATAATAACCATTTAAGTTTTACTTTAAAAATAAGACATGTAAAATTGGTCATCAGTCCATTACCGTTAGCAAAGAATACAGCTGTGATTTGAGTACACTATTCTGATTTTTGACATCACTTTCTAGCTTTCATCATAAACTTATTCTTTGATGGTTACTTAGATCACATTACACCCAGCTACCCTTCCGCACTGGAGCAGATCCATCCGCTGTTCTATACAGGGAAGACTTGGTCCTACTCCATTCTATCACCACCGGGAAGAGAACCCTGCCCAAACTCAGTCTACTAGGCAATGGCTGACTGACTCCTCCCAACTTCTGACAACTGCTTCCAGGGCACGGGGCAGGTCTCCCAGTAGCTTCTCTGCCAGCCGGAGTCCCTACTCCACCTCATTATGGCTATTTCCTTACTCTGTTGCTGTTTCACTGATCATCTTGAGATTTTTCCAGAGACAAAGGACAATCAGTCCCAAGTTTCCCACGACCCCTTAGACATCCTGATGTAACTGGAAGGAGACACGGATGCAGCTGGCTTCATGTCCTCATGCCAGCTCTGCTTAGCCCCATTTACTACCGCTGTCAAAAAGCACACTGCTGCGGTAGCAGTGGGCCTCAAAACAGAGACCGGTCACAAACCTGTTGGGTTAGGTTGCCGTGAGACTTATGTCTACATATACTGAAATGTTAGTAAGACGCTGATAAATCCTAAAAATTTGTCAGGACAGACCTAGTTAGTGACAGTGCCCCAAAATTGTAACATGGTTTTCTACAAAGCCACAAATGTGTATGTAGTTCATGCATTAATTTTAGAAACCAGTAAACATTTTTACTGTCCTCTAGCTTCTATTGCTACAGATTAGAATCCCAAAAGCAGCTTGATGTTTTCCTGTGAAATACTTATGTTCAGCCTCAGAGTTCAACAATGCCACTGGGCTATCTCTAAGACTGCTTCTTTCCTTCCAGTATTCTGTATGGCATGTGGCATCCCTCTCTGAGTGAACACAGGGTTTACTGTGTTTTAGGAAAGTTTTCTTCTTATATTTCTTTGATATTGCTCCTTGTATTCTTTTTTGCTATTTCTTGAGCTCCTATTATGTAGACATTTTTATTTCTCTTCATAGCTTTGCAGTATTGGAAGACAACTCCACTTGATCCTCCTCAGAAATCTACAGATTTTTGCTTACAGGCCACATGGTAAATATTTTAAGTTTACAGGCCATACAGTCTCTGTCATAGCTTTGACTCCACTCTCACTGCAGGTATAGACAATGTGTAAATAAATGAATACAGCTGTGTTCCAGTAAACATTTGTTTACAAAAACAGGTTGGCAGGCTACATGTGGTCTAATGACCCCAGCCCTAGATCACATATTTTCACAGTGGTAGATAACATTTTTCAATTATAGTTAAAGTTTTCAGAAACTTTTTTATGAGATTGTGTCACTGTAATATTTTTTAATCTCTTTGAGAATTCGTATTATAGGTTTTCATTTCTTCCTCTCAAAGTGCATGACAGTATGAATTAATAGTCTATAACAATAGGGAGCAAAATACTTTCACATTCCTTTACTTCTCCAAATTTAGTTATGCCAAGCCCCTTTTTGAAGGGTTGGTAAGAAAGTCAATCTTTTAGGGCCCTGCTCTGTAGGATTATAGACAAACAGTGTCTTTCTGTCAAGGGAAAGTCTCTCTCCTTTATGTTCTTCAGTTTTCCTGTTTCTCAGCACAATGTGATGACTTACTTCTGCCATACAGGCGCCAAGTGCACTTGCCTAAGGGGCCCCCACAGACCACAGCCCCACAAGGCCTGACCTCAGCCATCCTTCTGGCCAGGATGCCACAAGCCAGCAGCACACTGGTCTCGCCCAGCCACTTCCAATCCTTCTCCCAGACTCAGTTTGTTTTCCCATCCCAGTCAACACACTTCCCTTCATATTCTTGTCTGGGAAACACAGCATAAACGAGCCTTCAGAAGCAATGCTACCTTCTCTTATCTAGGACTAAGGTAGGGAAAGATGCTAACTGCTGCTCTGAGCTCTGTTTCTACTTGTTACTAGCTACATTTCCATTACATTTGTCTTGCTGGTGAGCAATTGGGTTGTCCAGGCACATCCGAGTGTATTGCTACCCATCAGAGAATGTGAATTTTCCAACAACTGATTGGGGTTTCCTCCCCCAAAAGCCCCTTGACAGGCAGAGGAGGCAGCTGACAGGTTCTTGGAACACTGATGAACGCAGGAAAAGGCAGGCGTCGCCAGCGGGAGGGCGAGGGGAGCGGCAAGTTCCATGGGGAAGTGGCCTCTGCCAGACTTTCCCAAGGCCTCGTGCAGCCAGCCTACAGGGACAACAGCTCCTGACGTGCACGGGTGCCACTTGGCGAGAGGGACGGGCCTCCTCCTGAGAGTGAGATCCACCCCCAGGCCCCTGGGAGCCTTCATCAGCCCTCACCCCACGAACGCACGGGAGCAGCTGGAACAGGTCTCTGCGTCACTCCCTCTGAGGCTGAGTTGGGCTCACAGCTGCACTACTCCATTATTTTGCAGCTGAAGTACTGCGGGACGGTGCTGGGAGAGAAGAGTCACCGGGGACCCAACTCACCCAGAAATGTCTCCTGAAAGAATAAACTAGTGAGCGGATCTGCCTGTTAACTGATGTGCTTCCGAAAGAAGGGTATTAATACACAAGTCATAAATAATACAACAAACATTCTGAAGACTGAGGATGTTCAAAAGTACATGACTAAACTGGTTCTAAAGAGACTTCTCACACTGAAAGGCAAAGGACAGGAAGAGGCCAACTTACTTCCATCATAATGCTTATGTTAGTTGACTAATAAATCTGAAAACAGTAAGTACTTTTCAACTTGAATTTGACGGACTCAGCAGTCTGCCTTTCCTGTTAGTACCTCACGCCATCTAATCCTGCCTTGATTTTTAAAGTGGAAGCTAGGAGTCTGCCCTCTAAGGCTAGGAGCTCCTTGTAAAGCAGGGGAACGACACGATCAAGCTGGGTGTGAAAGACGATTCCCCCACACAAGGCAGAGGCCGTGGGGGCCATGGCGGGGCAGGACATTCCTCGGATCCAACAAATGCAGCGGAGACGGACAAAGTAGACAGATCCTAGGTGTTCAGGAGGTTAACATGGACAGCGCTTGCTTGCTGGCTGTACGTGAGAACTGAGGGAGGGAGAGAATGGAGCAGCGGGTCTTGGATCCGAGGAGAGGGTGCACGTCCCCAGGGCCAGGCAGAGACTCAGCAGAAGACACGCTGGTTCTGACATGTCTATGAGACGTCTGAGTGGAGGTACCAAGAAGGCAAGCTGGAGAATCTGAACAACACTAGACAAGAAGGAGTGAACCTAGGTCATCAAGCTGTTCGGTCAATGAGAACTGCCAGGAGTGAACACGCACAGAGGGACTCCCTGCCATCTCAGGAGGCCAAACACAAACTGCCTGAAAGTCAGAGGAGGAAAATCAGGAGTGTCTTCCTGAAAGGGTCAAGGGTTAGGCAACACAGCTAAAAACTGTGAGAGGTCCAGTAGGGTGCTGTGTCCAGGTGGTGGGGAGACGAAGCAATGAACTGACAGGGAGAAGCCAGGGCTGCAGCTGAAGGGAAGCGGAAATGCGGACAGACTGAAATTTTCCCTGTGATGCCTTGATGATTCATAATTTCTGATGAAAAAGATCCAGTGAGAGATACAAGGAAGTGAAAAGGATTAGCAGCCTTACTATGGTTCCAGAGAAGGCAGGAAGGATGGGATCCAGACAGGCTGAGCTGGCCCTTGGACTTCTAGTGTAACATTCTTAATAAATCAAAACCTTAGATTCTAAGTATATTTGCATATTTTCCAAATTTTACATGTAATATTTTTCAGGCACAATGGAGATACTTTTTGCTGTGCAGCGTTAATACAAGATAGAGCCAAGATCTAAGTCATGGGCAAACAAGGGGAGTTCCTGAGCCGGGCCTCCAAGAAAGGCAGGAAGCAGGCTGTTCCCGCTGCTGCGTGCTCACTGCTGTTAGCAGCGGTCACCTCTTCTCCTGGAAATATGCTTTATTCTTCATAAGGACCTTTACTAAGACTGTCAATCATGTGAATAATTCTTCCCATCCTTAAAATATTAACTGTTACTCTGCCAAAGGTCAGGGACTGGAGGTGCACAGAAACGAGCGCCGTCTTAGGGCGGAGACCAGGAAAAGCATCTCTTGCCACTTACTGTCAATCACGCCTCATCAAAGCCGTTCCAGTCTTGGAGATACACACTACGGTATGAAGGGTGATGTCCACAATCTCTTGAAATTCTCCAAATGGGGCCGAGGGAGGGGAGATACAGGTGAAACAAGACAGTGCCCACTGGTAATTAAAGCCTAGTGCTACCTACATGTGGGGTGTCTCATCTCTCCATGTATATCTGATAATTTTCATAATCAGACACTTAAAAAAGTTTTCAAAAGATGTTAATTCAGTTAGTTTCCTCTTACTCTCACCTTTACAAAAATTTATGCATTGTGTACTAATGAAACTGTTGTTACACAAGTGTGAATAATAAACATTCAATTTTACACATGACTTTTATCAGAACTTAATCTTGTCCTCATTCTTTCTGATACCTTACCCTCTTCTCATCCCCTACCCACTTCCTGTCTTCTTCCGAAAATTATCAAAAGATATATTTTAAGTATTTAAAAATATCCTACAGAACCATGGATATACAATGGGGAAATGACAGCCTCTTCAACAGCTGGTGTTGGCAAAACTGGACAGCTACATGTAAGAGAATAAAACGGGAACACTGT